GGCTGGAAACTGCCCCAGGGGAGGGTCAGGCTGGGCAGGAGGAGAAAATGTTTCCCAGAGTGGTCAGAGAGTGGAACAGGCTGCCCAGGGAGGGGGGGAGTCCCCATCCCTGGGGGGGTTTAAGGGCCGTTGGGATGAGCTGTGGGGGATGTGGGGTAGGGGAGAAATTTGTAGAGTGGGGCTGAGGGTTGGACTCGATGATCCCGAGGGGCTTTTCCAACCTGAGTGATTCTGTGATCCCTGAGAGAAGGGATGGCCAGTGACCCCAGTATTTGCAGGAAGTGGGGACTTTTGTGAGAAACTTCTCATAGAAAAAGTAGGTTTTTTTCAAATGAGTCTCTGCCTTTTCCAGTGGACTTGGCAGAAGTCTCGCTGCTCAACAAGCTGATCCGCACATCCCTCGTGGAGTCCAGCCACTGCGTAGAGGTCCTGCAGCAGGACCCCAGCTCCCCGCTCTTCTCTGTCAAAAGCTTCGAAGAGCTGCCCCTGTGAGTCACCACTGGCCCCCAGCCCGGCAAAGAGCGAGAGCCGCTGCTGTTTGTCCAACAGGCCCTTTCTGCTGTTGCTTTTTTTATAGGAAGAAGGAGCTTTTGCAGGGGGTTTACATCATGGGCTTCAACAGACCATCCAAAATCCAGGAGATGGCTCTGCCGATCATGCTGGCATATCCGTGAGTAGAATGCCAGGCGGGTGAGCCCCCCCTTGAGGCATCCCCAGCATGGGGACGCCCCCCCCCCTCCCTTTTCATGCCACTAAGCAGCCTTTGCCTTGCAGGCCCCAAAATCTGATTGCCCAGAGCCAGTCAGGGACAGGGAAAACAGCAGCTTTTGTCTTGGCGATGCTGAGCAGAGTTAATGCCACTGAGAAATACCCGCAGGTAACGCAGGAAAGGGAAAGCTGATGCAGGAGGGGTTTGCCCACGTCCTCAAGACGCGAGCTCTGTTTTTTGCCCCCATCTCTGGGTGATTTTATATACTGGAGGGGGGTAGTAAACCCCCAGGTACCATCGCAGCAGCAGGTAGGACAGAAAGCGTGGTGCCCACTCAAGGGAGGTACTTTTAGTTGCTAGCAGTGGATTAAGCCAGGCTCTAGATATCCTGGAATTTAAATTTTGAAAAGCAACTGCAGAGACTGCTGGTTTTCTGGTGGTTTAAATGCCCCCATGAGCTCCCGTTGCCTCTCCATACGCAGAATTAGCTTTGTGCCCTGCTTACTGCAGTTTGAAGTCCCTTCTCAAGCCTACAGGGCGATCTAAGCCGCCGCTTTAAAGCTGGATGCAGAAACGAGCCACACCATGCTTTGGGAGACACATATCCTCCTCAGAAATAGCTACAGCGATTTCTTACTGCTTCCACCCCTTGAGCTGTGCTGCGTTCCCAGCTCTCTAACCTCTGCATGTGACCAACTACCTGAACCCCCCGCGCTTCAGAGGGAGTTTAGCTTGTGGATTTTCCTCTGCTCTTCTTTCTGTTCCTTCAAAGTACACTTATTGCCTGCCCGGTGTATCCCATCCCGGGAGCACCCTCAGCTTTTAATCAAGGCGTTTCTCCTCTGACAGCTCTTTTATCTCTTCCCCCAGTGCCTCTGCTTGGCTCCCACCTACGAGCTGGCCCTGCAAATTGGGTGCGTGATTGAGAGCATCGGGAGGTTTTGTGCTGATGTGAAGGTTACATACGCTGTCCGGGGAAATAGAGGTGAGTCCAGCCCTGCTGAGCAGAGCTACTGGCGCCGTCACGGGAGTATTGAGTGGTTACAGGGATTCCCTCTTAGAGCCTTGAGCCGCACAGACCCCTGTGAAGGCCAGTAAAATAGTGTCTGTATTCCCCTCACTGCCTAAGGAGTCTTTTTCACAATTGCTGGCTGCTTCCAGACTCACTCCTTCCCACGTGGGGCTGCTTTCCACCCCACTCCCCGAGGCTGTAGGGAAGCATCAACCCTGTTTGTAATTTTAATCTCAAGCTCCACTTTATGGAATCTGAGATAACCAAGGGGAAAAATGCGCCCAAGCAACAGAAACCCATCGTGTTTGGAGGCGCTGGGATGCAGTTTCCCCTCTCACAGTTCTGCAGGGCACCAGGCTGCAGGAGCAGATCGTCATCGGGACTCCGGGGACGATGCTGGACTGGTGCTTCAAACGCAGACTCATAGACATGAAGAAGGTCAAGTTGTTTGTGCTGGATGAAGCCGACATCATGATGGACACTCAGGGCCTCTGCTGTCAAAGCATGCGTGTTCAGAGGTAAGGATTCCTGAGGGCTGCCATCTGGCTTCCCCATTTTTTCTCCCTTTTTGCTCAGTTTTGAGGGAATCGGTCGCTGAACGAGCAATCTGTGTCCCTGTGATGTCAGAGGGGCTTGCTGCAGTGAGAATTGGCTTTTGTACCGCAGCAGGCTCTGACCTGCTTAGGCCAGGGGTCCAGCCTGCTGTAATACCGCATCGTGAGACACACAGGAAGATTTTTACCTCGCTTACCTTTCCTTTGAACCGCTAGGTGACTCAAAATCGACTTTTTAATTTTTTTTTTTCCAGTGAGCACATCTGGGCATCAGGCTGCTCTCCTGGGCTGACAAGTCCTTTTTCTCCCCTCCAGGGCTTTACCCAGCGGCTGCCAGATGCTGCTGTTCTCAGCTACATTCAAGGAAAACGTGCGGGCATTTGCCATGCAGATAATCTCCAACCCCATCGTGATAAAGCTGCGCAAGGACGAGCTCACCCTGAGCAACATCCGGCAGTACTACTTCATGTGCAGGAACAGGGAAGAGAAGTACAGAGCCCTCTGCAATATCTATGGCAGCATCACCATCGGCCAGGCTATGATCTTCTGCCAGGTGAAGTGCTTCTGCCTGCCCACGGAGATCGTTTTTGCCTTATACATGTGTTTTTCTGGGTAAAAAAGTGGCTGGATGGCCAGGCCCAAAGAGTTGTGACTGGCTGCTAACTGGATTTAACCCTATTCACCACAAGTGGTGTCCCCGGGGCTGGGTTTTGGGGCCACTGTTTAACATCTTTATTGATGATCTAGACGAGGGGATCGAGTGCACCCTCAGTCAGTTTGCAGACAACACCCAGTTGGGTGGGAGTGTTGATCTGCTCGAGGGCAGGGAGGCTCTGCAGAGAGACCTGGGCAGGCTGGAGCGATGGGCTGAGCCCAACTGGGGGAGTTTCACTGAGGGCAAATGCCAGGGGCTGCCCTTGGGCCACAACAGCCCCCAGCAGCGCTACAGGCTTGGGGAGGAGTGGCTGGAGAGCTGCCAGTCAGAGAGGGACCTGGGGGGATTGATAATGAGCCAGCAGTGTGCCCAGAGGGCCAAGAAGGCCAATGGCATCCTGGCTTGTGTCAGCACTGGCGAGGCCAGCAGGGACAGGGAAGGGATCTGAGCCCTGGGCTCGGCACTGGTGAGGCCGCCCCTCGCTGAGTGGGTTCAGTTTTGGGCCCCTCACCCCAAAAAGGCCATTGAATGACTCGAGCGTGGCCAGAGAAGGGCAACGGAGCTGGGGCAGGGTCTGGAGCACAGGTGTGCTGGGGAGCGGCTGGGGGAACTGGGAGGGTTCAGTCTGGAGAAGAGGAGGCTGAGGGGAGACCTCCTGGCCCTCTGCAACTCCCTGCCAGGAGGGTGCAGAGAGGGGGGATGAGTCTCTGGAGCCAAGGAGCCAGCGCCAGGCCCCGAGGGAATGGCCTCAAGCTGCCCAGGGCAGGGTCAGGCTGGCTCTGAGGAAGGATTTCTGTGCAGAAGGGGCTGTTGGGCGTTGGAATGGGCTGCCCAGGGCAGGGGGGGAGTCCCCGGGATCCCTGGAGCGGTTGAAGAGTCGGGCTGAGCCAGCGCTGAGGGATCTGGGGGAGTTGGGAACAGTCAGGGTGAGGTTCATGGTTGGACTGGAGGAGCTTCAAGGGCTTTTCCAACTGAGATGATTCTGGGATTATTTTGGGGTGTTAACAAGCGCTGCGAGGTCCCTCAAAAGAATCAGGGGGCTCAGGAGTGGGGGAAAATAAAACCTCATCCTGCCTCTCCCCCAGACTCGGAGGAGCGCGGACTGGTTGTCGGTGGAGATGAGCCAAGATGGGCACCAGGTCGCCATCCTGACAGCAGAGCTGACAGTAGCCCAGCGGGCCCACGTCATCCAGCGCTTCCGTGACGGGAAGGAAAAGGTCCTCATCGCCACCAACGTCTGCGCCAGAGGTACCCCCGAAAATCCCAACGCCCCTCGCCCTTCTGAGGGTGTGAAACATGCTTCCTCACCTACCAGTTCTTCTGGTGTCAGTGTGGGCTTGAGCAACAGATCCTCCCTGACTTGCGATGCCTTTCCACAGTCCCTTTCTCCCCATTTTATTTTTTTTCCCAGGCATTGATGTGCAGCAGGTCACCGTTGTGGTGAACTTCACCCTTCCCACCGGGCAGAAGAACCAGCCGGATTTCGAGACCTACCTCCACCGCATCGGGCGAACGGGACGTTTTGGGAAGAAGGGCATCGCCTTCAGCATGGTGGAAAGTCAGAACTTGGAGCTCGTGCGGATGATAGAGGAACATTTCCGTGAGTATCTGCGTGTCGACACCTCACCAGGAGGTGGGTTTGGGACTGGTCATCCCCCTCTGCTTCATTTCCCATCTGCAAATGGACCTTGTTGAGCTGCTCCTCTGCCCGGGGCTCATCCCATCAGTGTATCAGGTGCAGCTTTCAGCCCTTTTAGGATGTTTTTTCTTTTTTTTCCCCTACCGGACAGATTTTCAGAGAAACAGCCAAGGAGGTGGTGCATGACTTGCAAGGACATTTCAAGTACCCAGGGTGCCTCAGTACCTCTTTTTTTTCCCTCCTTCAGGCATTTTATCTACCTTTACCCTGCAAGTCCTGGTCCGGGGGGAGCTGGTACCCCAGCTTAGCCCTGGATGGGGGAGAAAAGCCAGCCGCTGAAACCTTACCTGACTGCAAATCGCTCATCACTCACAAACATCATGAGGATTTCCATGGAGTTTTCAAGAGGCTGTCGCTGCACCAGTGGCTTTTCAAATCCCAGTGCCTGTTTTCCCTGTGGTTATTTTAAGGGAAAAGAGAGTTATCTTCTGAGTGGCAGAAGTGTCAGGCAACGGATGAGCAGCTCGAATAACCACGAGGTGGGATGAGCCTGACCACAGGCACAGCCAGAATTAGCCAGAAGAGCCCAGTGTGGGATTTCCAAGGATGAAAATCCGAGCAGATGAACTCCCAGCCACCCAACTTTTTCCTTCTTAATGTTGCAATTCAAGGGCTGGGGCCTGGATAAAGGAACTTCCCCTTCTGGCATCGCTGTGGAGGTGGGAGCAGAGAGCGGGAGCATGGCTGGAAGCTGAACCCGACGCGTTGCTTCACGCTTGGGCCACCTCTTGCTTTCTCAGCAGCTTTCTTTCAGCCACTGCCCTTGATCCACTTTACTTCCTCCAAGTTTATTTTTCTATTGCTTGAAAGCCACAAACTGGAAATATTGCACCGAGCGCTTCGGGGAGCTTCCTAACCCGCATGCAAATGGTGCAGTCACCGGCTCGTGGGGTGCCTGGGTTTGGTTTTCACCCTGGTTGTGCCAAACACTGACAGTTTTTTTGTTTGGTTTTTTTTTTCCCTCAGAGACCAAGATCAAGCAGCTGGACCCGGACAACATGGACGAGCTCGAGAAGCTTGAAAACTGAGTGAGCAATGGGGATTTGCTCTCCCAGATCACAGTTCTGGCTCAAAACAGGAGGAAAAGTTCCAGGGGAAAATCTCCCAGTTCACGTTTTCTCAAGCTGTTTAGTTTTGTTACAGTGTTTTAAGAGGCGGCAAGGGGGAGCCCTCAGCCCTAGCGGTTATTGTTCTTGCTTTTGTCCCTTGTTGTATCCCCAAGGTTTTCATAGCCTGAGGGATCCCCTAAGGAGTTTAACATGAGGTAAAGCTCCCCAAAAATGGGTCTAGGTACGCTCGGAGGGGTCAGAAAATGGGCAAAATCCAGTAACTGGCCCAAAAAATCCGCTGCTGGTCTGCAGGCAGCAGTGGCGGGTGGCGTTTCTGTCAGAAACAGCTCAGAAAAAAACTTTTGTAACTTAACTCCTTTCTCCTGATTTTTTTCTTTTAAAAAAGCCCAAACTAACCCCTTCTCGCTAGATGGCAGCAGGCAGCCGCCACCATCCCCAATCCCACCGGGGCCCAAACGAGGGACACGTTTGTCCCCAAAAGATTTTCCCAGCACTGGCGCCGATCTCTGACAAAACGGAATGATTTATCCCCGAAGGCGTTGGGAGCCTCCCGCTCGGTATTAACGGTGTCGGGTTTGGTAACGAGCAATTAATTGTAATTAAGGAAGTGGCGGCGGGGTGGGGGAGGAGGGACACCAGGTAATTTTCTGCTGTTTTGGCCAGGCCAGGCCAGGCGGGTGGAAGAAGGCCGGTCTTGAGCCTTAACACCGCCCCCCCTCCTGTGCTGACACCAGCACCCCTGTGCCAAAAAATCCTTATATTTGGGCGCTTTTTTTTTTTTTTTTTTTCCCCCCTGGGTTATCAGCACCCCAAGACATTTCCCTGCCTCAGTGAAACACCCCCACGGTGGTACCCCTACCCCGGAGGGCAGATGGGGTTTTTTTAAAAAATCAAAATATTTAGGGATGATTTTGTGCAAATGCCCTATTTTGAGGGGAATTTCAGCCCCTGGGCTGCCACCTCCTGAGCTTGACTGGCTCCGGCCACGGCCCTTCCACGGTGGGTGCTGGCTCTGGAGACGTGTGTGTTCCTGTCATCTGAACCCCCAAATCCTCCATGGGGGTGCTCCAGCCCCCCCACCCCCCCCCGGCATTGCATTACAGTGCCGCCACCCC